AGTTGAATGTTAACGTACTAACTAACCTCGGAATATGGCAGTTTTCAGCTCAGTCTAATGCATGATCATAGGTGTGCACAGTCCTTAACTGGGGCAAAGTCACCATCAACTCCTTGTTTTTCACTTATTCTTAAATCTATCCTAAAGTCTCCTAATAACTTTATTGTTACAGATCTATACTTTTTTTAAAAAATAATTAACCTCAATTAACTTCTGTTTAAATGAATGAAAACAGCCAAAATAGGATGAATTAATGTTCGATTTTTCAAGATATTTAGCATGAAGCCTATGAGTACATGTCAGCAACACGTATCTGTCACCTCGAAGATATTAAAGTGAATTGTGAGGTTTAGACCCAAGTTATAAAGTGTTGCAGTCAGTAACTTTACTGCTGAGTTGTTGAGGCTCCCAAATTACCATATATACGACTATAATGACTATATTAATTGCTCACTGAGGAGTAATTTGTGGCATGTTGTAGTGCTAACTGAATTGTCTCATCGACCCCACTGCTTGTTGTCTGACAGGATTCATTCAACACCAACACTAAAGACTCTGATAATAACCCAGTAACTAATCAATATAAATACAATGAATCAATTATTTTTTTATTGAATTTGAGATTTTCCCGTCGATTGATTAGACCGAAGTCCTTGGTCTCAAGTTGACATATAGGGTTCTTGTGCAGATGCTTCGGTGATGTCTGGGCATTTAGTTAGTATTTAATTGGTGGATGGTGACTCACTGAGAAATGCAGGTACATCCATTTGACGAGTCCCAAATAGGACGAAATGCGCATTCTGGATTCCACTGCTAGTCATCACCCACCAATTAAATGAATCAATTATATTTTACAAATTATTTATATTATTCTATATATGAAAACAATACTTTCTCAAGCTAGTGCAATATATTATCTTAGCTTGTTTTGTCACTAATAACAACGTGATACCACCAATAACATTTTCGCTTCATTTGACAAAAATGCATTTATCAAGCTATCCATTGTGAAATGCTAATTAAATTTCTGATAAAACCCTGTAATACACCTCTATAAATATAAGTACGAATAGGTATTTGTGGCTATTGTTGGAAGTTATATCGTCCCTTCTTCTTAACTAAATCACAACCAGAACGATTCAGATAAATTTGCATATATTTCCAATGATAGAATGAAGCTGAGGTGTTGTGGTGTGGTATAATTTTATCCTATTTAGGCGGTTCGATATCACAGAAACTCTACGAAATTAATTCCCCAAACTCCTGGCCTACAGTTTTATCCTTCAACAATGTTTAAATCTGGTATTAGATGGCTGGAGGCAATCGACAGGAAGTCTTCCACCTAAGTTTCGTGCTAGTTTACACTTGTCACATTGCAAATGTGACGACAGATAGAATTCAGTCTGCACCAAACAGAGAACTAGATACATCACACTAGTTACTAACTAGTATCTAATCAAAAATGTTTAAGTCTACTGGTTAATCTAAAGGTAAGTGGTCAAGTATCCATGCCATCTGGCACTGTGTCACATTAAGTTTAACTGTTTGTTTAAGCATTCTAGCTAGCTAGGCAGTCACCGTTATTGTACATTTCTGATCCTGAAACATATTTCGTATTTTTGACGGTAATATAGTTATTTCGATTTGGCTTTTGAACAGTCGCCTGGTCTGAGTATTCTCTTTTATTTTCTTGATTACAGCTTGATTCCACACCGTATTTTTGGTACAGGTATGGAATTTCCAGCATGTCATATTGGTAGCCCAAAGTTTGCAGACTAACCATAGATATGAGGTCTGCGTCGGCAAGGGATTGAATCTGGACCATTTGCATGGTCGGCGAGAGTCCTAACCACTGTAACACCGACGCATTTCTAGGTATTAGAACAATGGAAAACAAATTTCAAAGTAGTTTGATTACATTCAATATAAATAAGAAAGGCAAAATGTAAGAAGCTCAGATGTGATCATATTTGTAGGTAATTTTAATGCTCGATTAAGGGATCTTAGCTGTTTAGAGAATTATATTTGACCCGGCTACGAAGTCTCATTGCATGAAGTCGAAAATGGTGGTCGCCTCTCATAATTTTTTTCAGATCAGCTCTTGCTCTTAGTCAGCATTAGCTTAAAGGACATGGATAAAACTATGCAGCTTGGCAGCCATGGACATCAGGTTGATAGTGGAAAATGATTTATCGGTAGAAAGGATTTGTTTAAGATTTCCCTTCTTTATAGAACAAGTGTGTGGAATCCGACTACGTAATGGTCTCCAATGCCGGACATAAATAATGTGCAAATAGCTTCAAAACCTTTACGTGTTTATCGTTCTAATGAAATCGCCATATCCCTGTTTACGCAGGTATTAATATAACATTCCTCTTAGCATAAGAGCAATACTGATCCTTAGGAAATCCGACATTGGTGGAGACTGATGACAACCACCGGTCAAAGCTTATTAAATAAGAGTAGGTTTCTGTGCTTTCACCTTAACTCTAATCGCGACAAACTTCCACCATGACTAGATTCGAAAATCAACTTATTGGCTTACTAGAAACCTCTGGAACACCAGCCAAAGATATTGTTTTACATAAAAAAAAAACATGGAGAAGACATCAGAAATAGGTAGTAATCGGTAGTCATTTCGACCCATTAGGAAAGCGAGTTCTATAAACTCTATGATCTTCAAAAAGGATGAGACTTGAAAATGTCTAAAGTGAAATGGCTGGAAATGTTGAGTGGAACATTTTGAATAAAAGTTCAGTCGGCTTACAGTTCACATTGATACAACTTACTGCTGTAAGACATAGCCGATGAAAAATAGAAGATATGAAAATATTCCAAGTATTCAGTTGTCACTTTTACTTTTAACCGCTTAAGATAAACGTAGAAATATTCAAATTAATGAAAATTTTAGACTTAGAGTATTGCATTAGCAGTGCAAACCATTTGATGTGGTTCATGTACAGTAAAACAATAAAACCAACGTGCACACAAATGCACCGGCTCATGTTACAATACTGCGAAGAAACATACTAGAGGAACAAAACAGAAATACAGTTATATGACGAAAATCCAAATAAATTAATTCCGTTCAACGCACGCTAATAGTAACTACACTCAGTCAGAATGTAGTAGGAAGACTGTATTGAGCATGCTTATGACTAGACAAGTATAGAAATTATTACTGTACCCATATATGATTTGATTCTGTTCAATGAATTGAATAAAGACGGTCCTAAATATGAACAGTAATATCAGGGAGGATGTCTTGGTGCCAAGTTGGTGAGGTGGAAGGTCGTTCACAAAGGATGCTTGTCTTGGTGCTGTTCTGAAAAACTTCTCATATCACACCTGGTGTATATAAATACTGTCTTGAGATATATCTTCCAATCATTTGGTTGGATGGTGACTAGCAGTGGAGTCCAGGATGCGAATTTCGTCCCCTTTAAGACCCCTCATCTGGACGTACTGGCATTCCCCAGTGAGTGGGCTTGAACCCGGTACCCATAGTTTCAAACTCCAAATCATTATCCACTAGACCACTAGAACCACCTCTTGTGCAAGTGGTCTTATTAATTATATAATCCAATTTTCAGATTTTCCCGTCGATTGTTTCGACCGACTACGGATCATCCATCATTTGATTTCAAGTTACATAACCAGACGTCTTTGAAGCATCTATCCAAGGAGCTGACATGTCAACCTGAGACCTAGCACCTCGGTCCAATCAATCGACGCGAAAATGTAAAAAATTGAATTAAATATATCTTATAATCTTACAAAGACTGTTACTAGAATTGGGTGTATAAAACTATGATTAGTGTCTATACCGTTTCAAAGGAGTAAGTTGCCCATTTTAAGTATAGTTTCTTTTGTCATATTTGTTTGGAGGTGACTATTGGGATCAGTCACCCAGATTCACTAGGAACTTATATGTCAGCATAGACTCTGAAGTTTACTTTATCGTAAATTATCCCTGTATTCGTGAGGTAATAAATGGTAGTTTATGTCAGATGTTACAGAAACTATAAGGTCTTCGGACGAAAACCAATAAGTTAGTAGAAGAGGCAGGATTTCAGGTGGACTTAGAGAAGACAGAGGTGATGAAGATACTTAATCAGCAACAAGCATAAGCATCGATTACCATCATTGAAAGATATTTGAAGGAAGTCGCCCAGACAGTACCACTTCAGCTACAAGCACCACAGATGGAGACGTTGTAGGCGGGATCAGAAAAGCAAGAAAGGCCTTCGTCACTCTGAAATCCTTCCGGAAATCTGCAGCAGTTAGCATGAGGAACAACATCTGAATTTCCCATACTGATATCAAGTCTGTCAACGCTTCTGTACGGTTCGGAAACTTGGCGGGAACGTCATCAGAAGCACTTCCAACAGGCTGCTGTAAGCCTTCATCAAGAGCTACCTTCGCTTTATACTGAAGATCAGAAGGTCAAAAAAGTATTACAAAGAAGGTAATCTAGTAGCGAATTAACCAAGAACCTATCGATCAAAAAATATATTGTACAATATGCAGATGTATTGGACATACGCTGAGAATACCTTGTGACTGACATCACAAACCAGATCCTCAAGTAGAACCCTGATGAGAAACAACAAGTTGGGTGTTCAAGGGTAACATGGAGGAGATGGTGTAAGCAGTAGATAAAAGCTTATGGTAAAATCGCTAATCCAGTTTAAGAGGACTGAAGAGAACATGGTGAAACGGAGATGTCCCCGATGTCCCACTCAGAACCCAAAGTGATTATAATAAGTCAAACTCCATTGTGAAAATAACTTACTCTTTTGTACCAACTAAACTTGCAAAGGTTTATCACAATGTCAGTATATCCGCGTCTTCATTACACAGTTAGCCTCCATCATTTTATTTCAAAAATGGTTACATATAATAAGTACTGGTTAAATAAATGAGTATATCAGTGAATTGTTTACAGTGTGTATATTGATTACTCAACCGATCAATAGTATTATTCCTCAGCGTAATTTAAACCATTAGTATACCACAATAATAATTACTATTATTACTATTCTATACAAATGTTCCAAACAAATTAATTTTTTTATGTTCGGATTTATATAAATGAGTCGTAAAACTGTACAACAAAGGGAATTAGCCCGTAAAGCTAAAATTGATCCATTGAAAAGTGATCGTTATAAAATAGTCAGTCGATTAGGTGATGGTGGATTCTGTGAAGTATTTAAAGCCAAAGATTTACACACAGGTCGAGTTGTAGCCATTAAACGTGTTGATCGTACAAAACCAACCTATCAAAAGTATTCATCAAAAGAAGTTGAAAAAAAGATTAAAAAATTAATGTATCGTGAAGCGTCTATTATGCGTGCATTAGAACATCCAAATCTTGTAAAATTATATGATCTTGTCGATGAAAATGATCAAATTTATTTAGTTATGGAATTAGCTGAAGGTGGAGAATTATTTGATAGGATAATTAAACGTGGAAAATTTAGTGAACGTGATGCAGCTATTATTATAGCACAAATGTTATCCGGTGTACAATATATGCATGCAGCTGGTTATGTACATCGTGATATTAAACCAGAGAATATATTGTTTGAAAAACCAACTGATGATTCAAAGCTATTAATTACAGATTTTGGTTTATCTAGAGAAATTCAACCAAAAATGATGACAAATTGTGGTACAGTGGATTATTCCGCTCCAGAATTACTTAAAAGTAAACTAACAAAATCTGGTTATGGTCCAGAAGTCGATAATTGGAGTATTGGTGTTGTTTCATATATTCTGCTGTGTGGTTATCCACCGTTTTATTCAGTGAATCAAGATGATAATGAGATTAAAAAACAGATCATGTCAGGTACTTATCATTTTCATCATCCACACTGGGATCATATATCAAAATCAGCTAAAAATTTCATCTCTTCTCTGCTGAAACCTGATCCAGAAGAAAGAGCTACCCTAGAACAATCGTTAGAACATCCATGGATACGCTTAGAAACAAGTTCTACACTAGATATTTATCCAATGATAGAGTCAAATATGCGTGATACATTAGCTCGTCAACGTTGGCGATGTTTAGGCTTAGCAGCGAATGCAGTCAATTTATTCACAATGGCAAGTCAGTCAATGGCACAGAGGTGTTTTTCAGTGAAAGAGATAAATACTGCCGAACAATAAAAAAAGGCAAACAGAACGAAGATGGAATGCTTTTGTTAATTCATGATTTTATTTCACACGATAACTGATAACTACAAGTACAGTAATTCATTTAGTTTTTTTCCACTTGTCTTCGATTTTAAATAATTCGCCGCTCAACTATTTAAAAAGTGGATTTATCACAAACTTCACTTATTTTATTTTCTTAATTATTTGAAATGGTTATGTGCACAGACTGTATATAACTTTAAAAAACACTTTTTGAATTTTTTAGTTATAAGATACTACTTGCAGTATTTCTTTTTTTTCAGCGTATAATTATTTTCAAGAAAAATTCTCATTTTGATATAGATATTCATATCCACACTTTCTTTTTCTGAATTATACTCAATATCTTCATTATTATTATTATTATCACTTAGAACAAGTGCATAATGAATGATTTCATATGTGTGTATGCTTGCATTTGTGTGTTAATGCCACTGACTAGTCTGAACGACATATATTGGTAAATCCACAGAGTTCAGTCTGCACGAAAGAAAGGATTGGACACATCACACTAGTTACAAATGTCCAATCACAGTATTCAATATAGTCCTACAGGAGGTCAATCACGAGCCCAAATAGCACAGTGATAACGTCTCTGACTGCAGTACTCACTAGGTGACGCAGAAGAGACATGAGTTACTTCAAGGTTGTAGATGAGCCTTGCTGACCGATGAGTACCAACTAGCACGAAGTCAAGGCTTCCTACCGATTGCCTCCAACCGCCTGACGTCAAAAATTCAAAGTGCACCATGACGGCGAGCTACCCAGAATGATGGCCATATTGCAAACCTGACTGACAGAATTTAGTCCCCACCAACTAAAGGAGTAGACACATCACACTAGTTACTAGTGTCCAATCACAGAATTTATGTTGGTTACTTCTGTTGAACGAAGAAGCATCAAAGATAGGCCTTCACATGAACATGGAGAAAACAGAGGTGATGAAGATTCCTGGCCAACAGTAAGAGCAACAACAACAGGCAACAATCAGCATAAATGGGAAAAATCTGAAAGAAGCCACCTCCTTTAACTTCCTAGGAAGCATCGTTTCAACTACGGGCGGAACTGATGAGAATATCAGAGCAGCGAGGATCGGGAAAGCAAATTAAGGTTTTATTGCTCTCAATTCTGTGTGGAGGTCAACAGCAGCCAGCAGGAAAATGAAAATAAGATCCAGATTTTCAACTTCAATGTAAAGTCAATGCTACTTACTATACGCACGAATCAGAGACTTGGCGCGTTATGAAGACCTTCATCAACAGCTGCCTTCGCTCAATACTCACGATCAGGTGGCCAGAAAACATCAGCAACAGGGATCTCTGGAAGCGAACCAACCAGTGACCAATTGTACAACAAATAAGAGGGAAGAAATGGAGGTGGATTGGCCATACTCTGAGGAAACCATCAAGTGACATCCCACGACAGGCTCTGTAGTGGAATCTGAATGAGAAGCGGCGAGTTGGTCATCACTGCGAGGGTAACATAGAGGAGATCATGTGAAGAGGAGAGGAAAGCATGTGGGCAGACGTGTAGTCAGGTATAAACGTTGGCAGAGAACCGAACGCAATGAAAACGTGCGGCTGAAGCCCTATGTTCCTCTAGGAACTAAGGGAAACAATAATAACAATAGTTTCTGCTGAACACTCAAAGCCATAATTAATTTATAAATTATAGTTATACATAATGGATTCATTCTGTGAAGATGAACTATCGATATATGTCACTTTAATAATCTGAAGATATACACTTTTCAAAGTTATGAGGATCTAAGCTTAAAAATGCTCCTTGTACTCCTAGTCTATAGAATTTCTTAGGAAATAATGTTAAGTTATTACTTAACCTAATGACACTGTAGAGTGACCACTTAGAAGGTTAACAGTCACTATGTTGATGAAGTCACGGAGGTGATTGGAGTCTCGATAAGCCCTAATATTTAAAAAAAAATCAAACTGGTAAGTGGATTGGTTCATTTACTTTTTACGGAGATTTTATTTTCTTGTCTATACAGATGAATGAAATGCCAGGGTTATAGATAAAATTTGCCAGTTGACAGATCCTGGAACACAGGAATACTTACCAACATCGAACGATTTTCACATTTCTTGACTTGAAGGTGGCATTTGACTCAGTCTAACGAGAGGTACTATGGAAATATCTGATCATAAAGTCAGTACTAAGAAAGTTTATAGAAGCAATCCAAACACTGTACTGAAATTCATGCAGCCATTTAAAAGCCCATCTGGAGTTATCATATGAAGTGATAATAACCACTGAAGGGCATCAGGCATGTCCAATGTATCCTTTTTTATTTAATTTCATAAAAGATGTACCAATAGATTTTACCCTTGTAAAGACAGAAGACAAGGGCCAGGCAACAGATCCTTTTATTATGAAAATCAACACGTATTTATACATATTTCAACTACATTATTATAGACAAGCACAGTCATCTGATTGGTTGTTTATCAGAAGTTAGGTAGACAAACGCAGGCTTCTGATTGGTTGTTTCGGGATTCCTTGACAAATAGAGTTCTCTATCTGCGAATCATATTTTGCCACGTTAACTTTGCTGTGATTGGTTGTTGACACAGCCTTGTTCATATTTTCTCACGGCCCATATTAGTGACCTAGACCTTAACGTAGATTAGTGCCAACCAATCGGCTAGCAGCCTGCTCTCACCACACTCGTCCCCCCGTCAAATACGTGCGACTGAAGTCGGCTTGATCTACTTGGTGCAGGCGTCATCGTTGGCTTGTCTCGCTGTATCCGTTTCTGGAGCTCGCTGACGTTCACGCGCCTCTTATTGTTCGCCATTGCGACTGTGTCTGCGTAACCCCATCTCGAAGTGACCATTTATGGTCCTTCCCACTTTGGAAACTGTTTGCCTGACCCTGTCGAACATTCGTCCATACTTCGGCTCACACTTTCATATGCTGCTTTCACCCCACCTCCCAGCCGCGTCCCAAGTAGCAGCTCCATCGCTGACAGATCTTGAACGCCACTCAACTGCGCAGAAGCCTTGAAGTCATGCCCGAAGATCCATATGTCTCCATCAAAAACAGCAGGGCATAGGCTTTCCATTTGTCGGTAGGCAGCGACACCAAATGTAAAGACAGAAGACAAGGGCCAGGCAACAGATCCTTTTATTATGAAAATCAACACGTATTTATACATATTTCAACTACATTATTATAGACAAGCACAGTCATCTGATTGGTTGTTTATCAGAAGTTAGGTAGACAAACGCAGGCTTCTGATTGGTTGTTTCGGGATTCCTTGACAAATAGAGTTCTCTATCTGCGAATCATATTTTGCCACGTTAACTTTGCTGTGATTGGTTGTTGACACAGCCTTGTTCATATTTTCTCACGGCCCATATTAGTGACCTAGACCTTAACGTAGATTAGTGCCAACCAATCGGCTAGCAGCCTGCTCTCACTACACCCTAATCAACTTCAATGACTGATCTGTTCTCAAAGAACAGTCTTGTCGATTTAGAGGGAACAGATGATAAAGTCCTTCGAAGTGAGGACGCTGAAAAAATTCATAGTCGGTGGCACAGGAGTTAGGACTCTCGCCGACCATGCACATGGTCCGAGGTTCGATCCCCTGCCGACGCACACCTGATATCTATGGTCGGCCTGCAAAATTTGGGCTACCGATATCACATGCTGAAAATTCCATACTTGTACCAAGAGTACAGTGTGGAATCAAGCTGCAATCAAAAAAAAAAAAAAAAAAAAATAAAAACAGTTTGGAATCAAGCTGTAGTCAAAAATAAAATAAAAATAGTCTTCTGCACAGATTGAACAGTGACACGGGTACGTTCGGCGTGCGATTCTCCCCTGCCAAATTTGAAATGTGATATGTACTCGTCGCTAAATTATTGATATGTACTGGTCGAGAATTTAATAGTCCTGACGCAAGAAAGCGGAAATCAGAAGACCACTAGGTTTGCGATGATACTTCTATTTTCCAAACACAAGGAGAATGCAAAAGTGGTATCACACCAAGTAAGTGAACACACAAGATTGTGAGAGTGAAATATATATAAATGTCCAGACAAAAGTGTGTGAATAAATCAATGGACAGTCTTAACATGAATGGCTAATTATAATGAAGTATCGATCCATATATACATAGCAAAATATAGCAGACATGTCAACAACCACCGTATATGGATATATGTCACCAAGCAACGGACTGTCAACAAACACTCATATTATATTAAATATAATATAAGGAGAATATACATTGTTAAAGGAGACAGGTTCATCAGAGTGAAATGGTCACAGACTAAGCGAGCATCAGAAAAAGAGGTCACCATATATATATATATATATATATATATATATATATATATCAAAATGATGCTGCAAGACTGATTTGTCCCTACTTCTTATTTAAAGATGGTTGAATGAAATGGTAAGGCGTGTTACCCGCTTAACTTATTCGAGAAGCTGCATCAGCCGTAATCGACTGATTACTGACGAAGTCTGAGCAAGGATGTAAAGGGCTAGTATTTCATTTATCACCTAACAACATCTCTGAAGTAGACGCGATTTCCAGCCGTCAATCAAGAGACATGTGCGCTGCTCAGTAGTTCGCTCTGTCCTTTTCTGTGGCTGAGAGACATAACTGCTGGAAGTGGAACAGGCTAGCTGTCTTTTTCTGTATTTGTCTGCTTTCTGTCTCCCGTGTTAAGTGGTATGATACGGTGAGTAATACTGAGGTTAGACTTAGAGTGCTACGCGGGAAAGGCAGATCAGTCAATAAGGCTGTGAAGCTACATCTGTTTAGATTACAGGGACACTTAATATGTTACCTCAACAAGGAATATCAGCCAGCATAGGGTTGAATTGAAAAAGATTTAGTGGTGGTCAAACCAAAACCTAAAATCCATCCATAATGACTCTGAAAGATAGTTTAAGCCGTCCAGGGAAGAAGGTACACTAAACCTAGTTGTGATCATCGGGATGCTGAGAACTAGTTGCACAAAATCGTTCTCAATAGTGCAGATGTAGTCGTTCTTACCGAATTTACCAATGAACAGAATTCCCATCTGATATGTACCCATATGTATATATATATATATGTGTGCGTGTGTGTATGGTGATCTCTCTTTCTGTTGCTCGCTTAGTCTGTGACCATTTCACTCTGATGAACCTGTCTCCTTTAACAATGTATATTCTCCTTATATTATATTTAATATAATATGAGTGTTTGTTGACAGTCCGTTGCTTGGTGACATATATCCAT